TATCCTGGTGCAGTCATGAATGAAGGTGCCAGAAAAGCAGATAAGAGTTAAAGCAAGTTCACGTCACATACCAGGAGTTAAGAGTAAAGCAAGCACAAAGTTCACTGAAAGGATAGGAAAGCACCCTGATGAGTGGGACTTAGTGAAAGAGCTAAGCCAAACTATGGCTGAATCTAGGAGACAATATAGGGCACTAACTGGCATAGGTCCAACTAGTCCACCTTGAACTATATTTTGATTGGTTGGCGCTGAGTCAGCTTCTTGCTGAACTCAGCCACCTGTCTGTCCCTCTCCTTATTGAACTGAGCATTCCAAGAAGGTCTGGTCAGCTCACCCTGACCCTGGGGCCCTGGTCTTGCAGCTGCATTTTGTTATTTTGGTGAGAGGCTTGTTACTTTTGTGAGAAACTGTTTCTCATGTCCCTTTTGCATATCTGTTTCTAAAATGCCTGTCTCATTCAAAATGGAGTCACCTCTGTCATTGCTCCCCTTACACAAGTAGCCACTGTACCCAGTTGAAGGGACTGTTCATTTTTAATCAATTCTCCACAGAGTAATTAGAATTATCTTTTGAAAGTGCCATCTGATTGCATTATTTCTCCAATCTTTACTGCATCTTCTTTGCCATCAAGCTTAAAGGTTAAGCCATTAGTAGGAACATAAGGATGATTTCAAGCTGCCGCTGAGTTCATTTTCCGTGTAAAGCCTATTCTCAACTCAGAGAAACAACTTTCCACCTTCAAGCATCTTTCTGTTCTCCATAGGTGAAATAGCTTCCCATGCGTTCTCCTTCACAGCATGGGAAACTGTCCCTAATCATTAAGTCCCAATTGACAGCCATGTCTTCTGTGTGGCCTTCCAAAAGACCCTTATTCATGTGTCTGGTTTTTCTCAGCCCAGCTCCCTGTTATAATCATCTGGGTGGGGGCTTTTAGATAATATCAATACCCAGCTTCTACCCACAGAGAGTCTGACTTTGTTATCTAGAATGAGCCAGAGCTCAGGAACATTGTCAACATTCCCCTGGAGTGTTGCAATGTGCCAGGTACTAAAGATATAAAAATTGAAAGACAGTATGGAGCTTCTGATGTCAGGAAGTTTATTGTAGAGAAATAAGCAAATGAATTGTCATTTATAATAGAAGGGGGCATACTTTGTGCAAAGGTGTGTGTGTAAAACAGAGGGGATGGGAGAGAAAGTGTGACCTGAAGGCCCATGGCCAGGGTCTATTATAAACCAGCCATTTGGTAAATTTGTATTTGCTCATAGAATCCTGTTAAGTTATGAAGAGTAATTCAAAGGAGTTGGTCTGTGAGTTAATTGCTGTAAATAAATAATACACCAGCTTCTCTATAGGTAATTGACATTATATCCTAATGTCAGAGCAACAGCCAGAGTATCCAAAGTGCTCAAAAATATCTGTTGAATAAATGAATGATCAACAGCACAGTAAAACTGTCTTTTCTTAAGAAATATATTTATATTCTATTCACAAAAATAAACTCTAAGTGGATCGAAGAAACCTTCTTGACATTTGTCTGTCAGAGATATTTTTTAGATAAGACACCAAAAGCATGAACAACAACACAAAACTAAAAAGTGTGACTCATCAAACTAAAATGCTTCTGTTTAGCAAGGGATCAGTCAGAAAAAGGGAAGAGCAAGCTGTGTAAGGAGAGAAAGAAAGAGCAAAAGAGAGAGGAAGGAAGGAAGGAAGGAAGGGAGAACACATGGTGAACAGGTATATGAAAGAGTACTCAATTTCACTAATCATCAGAACACAAATCAAAATCAATGCCATCATCTCAACCTTGTTAAGGTGGCTGTTGTTAAAAAGAACAAGTGTTGGTGAGAGTGCAGGGAAAAGGGAATCCTTATACACAGTTGGTGAGCACATAAATCCGTACCATTATCATGAAAAACAATATGGAAGTTACTAAAAATTAAAAATAGGGTTACTATATGACCCAGCATTCCCTCTTCTGGTTATATACCTAAAAGAAATGAAATCAGTGCCACACAGAGACATCTCCACTCTCATGCTCATTGGAACATTATTCATAATAGTCAAGACATGGTCCACTGATGAATGAATGGATAAAAAGTTGTGTTCTCTATATATTATGCAGTAGAATATTATTAAGCCTTGAAAAGGGGAAATAGTCAAGACATGGTCCACTGATGAATGAATGGATAAAAAGTTGTGTTCTCTATATATTATGCAGTAGAATATTATTAAGCCTTGAAAAGGGGAATTTTGTCATCTGCAACATGTCTGAACCCCAAGGGCATGCTAAGTGAAATTAGTTAAACAAAGTAAGACAACCACTATGTGATCTTACCTACAGGTAAAACGTAAAAAAGTTGAATTCATAGAAACATAGGGTAGACTGGTGGCTGCTAGAGATACAGAGTGGGTAGGAAGGAGAGATATTGATCAAAGGGTACAAACTTTCAGGTTATGAGATGAACACCGTCCAGGGTGAATGTACAGAATGGTGACTACAGTTAACAATAGTGAATTGTTATACTTAAATTTATACTACTTAAATTAAATTAAATTTGCTTATATTAAATTTAATTAAATTGCTTATATGGCTGGGTATAGTGATACACACCTACATTGCTAGTGCTCAGAAGGCTGAGGTGGGGAATTGAGAGTTCTAGGTCAGCCCAAGGTATACAGTGAGCTCCAGGCTAACCTGGGCTACAAGTGAGACCCTGTCTCAAAAAACAAGCAAAAATAAACAAGCTAACAATGTGAGGTGATGTGTTAACTCACTTGATTGTGGAAACCATTTCACAAAATGTATCAAGTCATTGTGCTATACACCATAAAAATATACAATCTCATTTTCCAATTATGCCTCAAAACTGGAAAACTAATAACGAAACCGAGTTATAAGCAATATCAATGCTGGTTGAACACTAAAACCAAGTATTGTACTTTGGGAGTGAAAAATGTTGTCGAGTTGAGCATGAATGTATGCTCTACTTCTTGGATGAGACAAATAATTATAAAGTAGATGAGAAAGGCAGACCTGACTAGGAAGTTCACTTTCAGTAGTTTGGGTTTTCCCAAATAGTGACACGAGAGTCAGTCATTTCGAAATGGACACTTTGAGTTCCTCTTTAAGAATCAGAAATGTAGGTCAGGGCTCTGCTGACATTTCCATCTGCCTCGCAGAGAAAATCTGAACTGCTCACTGACAGGTGGACAGTGAGGAGAGAAGACAGCCAGCCATCGCAGGCAGCAGCATCTCTGAGCTGGAATTATGCACTGTCCGCAGGCTGGAAGGTAAAGAGCACAGTGGTCCAAGGAACCACAGCTTCAGCTCCTTCTAGAAATGCTCAGGCCACAATGTTTTCTCTTAGACGTTCTCAGGGTTATTGCATGCAGTAGTTGTGTGAAAGCTGCCTGTGACATTACTTTAATAATTATTATTGCTTATGTTCTGTTAGGTGAGCAGTTAGCTTTTAAATAGGCATGTGTCTTACTATACAGAGGAGGTCCATTGCTGACAAATTAAGAAAGGGCTGTCTGCACCTCTAAGCCACAGGACCGTTTTGAAAAATGTTATCAGCTCCTGTGTGCTATTTGATAAGCCACATGTGTTTTGAAGTTGTTTTGTGTGAGAGGCTTAGGCTCTACTGAAGGATACAAAAGCAGTAACTGGATAAAGCTCTTTACTGGGCAAGTGGATTATTGCATAATGGAAGTGAATGATTAACAGAATAGCCTAACGCCATTTGCACACTGGTAACAGTGTGGTGTGGAACTCTATACCGTGTTTCATTTGGGCTCGAAGATGGAAGGGCTCTGTTTTTCTCTTTTCATTTTTCTTCAGGTTGTATCCTTTTCCTCTGGGAGTTTTGAAATTTGGGGCTTTGCCCAAGTTTTGTTCATCAACAACTGGTATTTCTAGAACATGATACGTGTGTGTAACTCTGGCCAGCAGGAGAATCATCAAAGTCAGCGCAGACAGAAGAGCTGACTGAAGAGAGATTGGACAGGAGGAATTGTATTTTAATGTGGGTCAAATGACCTCCTAAGAGAATTCATAGTGACTTTCGAAGGAAATAAAGTTCCATTCTTTTGTCCTTCTTATTGTACCTCCTCACATCCCAGGGACATTATTTGCCCTGGTCCCTCCATTCCTTTCCTTGTACCTCCCTCCCTCCTTTTCTTCCTAATCAAAGTTTCCCATTAAAGACAATAACTGGGAGAGAGGGAGAGTGAAAGAAGGAAGTTAAGCAGGTGAATATGGTTGATGTACTGCCTAAACAAGAATGAACATAGAATTTTTAAACCTGTTGAAATCACCATAAGAAGGGGATTAAGGTGGAAAGGAGAAAAACAGAGGGGATGAACCAATTTGGGTTCATATATATATAGGAATGTCACAAGGAAACTCCCTGTAGAGCTATATTAAGCAAACAAATATGGCTTCTTATCTTCTTTTCTTTTTTACAAAATCAGAGACTAGGAGAGCAGAACAGGTCCTGCCTGGGAGGTTGGTGCCAGTGGGAGGGGGAGGAGATGTGAAATGGTGTAGGAGGGTGGATATGGTACCAATATTATGTACACAAGTATGTAAATGGAAAAATGACACCTGTTGAAACTGTTCCAGGAATGAGAGGAGGGGGGAATAAAGGAGAATTGTGGAGGGGGTGAATTCAACTATGATATATTTGATACATTGTAAGAACTTTGGTAAGTGCCACAATGTACCCCCACCCAGCACAATGATAAAAAAAAAGGTTTTAAAAAAGTGCCTAAAAAGTAAACATAAAATAAATTTTGATTAAAAAAAAAAAAGACAATAATTGGGGCTGGTGGAGTGGCTCAAGTGGTAGAGTCCTGCCTAGCAAGTGTGAGACCCTGAGTTCAAACCTCAACGCCACAGGAAAAAAAGACAATAGTTAAGAAAAATTGTAAAGCTTTTTATTATTTCACTCAAATATTACAATTAAATATTTCTTTGTGTTTTTTTCCAGAGAGAAGCAAAGAGCTTTTTCCTGTGCTGGGGCATGAATCAGGTTACGATTCAATTGGATGTGGTAGTAGCTCTGTACCTGCTCTTTAGCTGGTGCAATGGAGGTACGGGATTTTGTGTATCTGTCTGTATCTTTTATTTACAAATCAGATATCGAGAGACTATTATCTTTATGGCTTCATGCTAGGATCTCTGGAGAACACAAAATTATAAGGTAGGAAAAATATGTGTACATAAAAATGATATGGAATGAAATAAAAATGGTCCAACCTCCCTCCAAATAAGGATTACTTTCTGATGGACAGCCCTCGAAGTCTCAGTGGAATGCTTCCACTGAGAAACTTGTCACTTTGAAGTGGTATGTTGTGCTTTTGGACTTCTGTAACTGTTAGATGACCTATCAGAAGGTTGAGTTTAATTCAATTCTGCAAAGAACTTACTGATGGTTACTATGTGCCATGCCCCGAGTCAGCCCCTCTGTCCTCATGGCGACCTTGTACAATACTACCATGTTATCACACCTTGCTCATCATTAACACAGACACGTGGCCCTGTTCCGAAGACCAGATTCTGGGAGGCAGACATAAGAAACCCAAGAAGGGGATCATGGGAAGTTCAGACAGGGCAGCAGTTGGCACTTGAGGGTTTCTGTTGGAGACAATGGTATCCTGGAAGGCGGCAAGAATTCAGTCACAGGCAAGGTGAAGGCAAGGTTTAGACCTTGAATGACCAGGTTATTCAGAGTAGTGACAAAAGCAAAATCCTCAGGTAAAGGTTGGGACACAATTATTCTGGAGCAGGAGTAGGACCCCTCCAGCAAGAGATCCTAGACGCTTCCTTCCTCAGCTACCCCAGAAGTTTTTGGGGAAGTAAGACACCAGCTCTTTCCATGCTTCTGGACTCAGCAACCAGCAAGGAGGACTTGTGCACATTCATTCAAGGGATCAGTCTAGAGCATAGAGAATGGGACAGGCCCAGTGACGGGGCGTTAGACAACTTCCAGCTGTCCACTGGAAGCCATTTTGAATTTGTTTTCAATCAGCTGCGATTATTTTTAACATCCCCAAGTTTGGGTGGAGATGTTGTCACTCTTTTTCAATAGCTTTATAGAAACAAAACAGTTACTCTGTTATGCATTTCTCTAGCCAATCTAATAACCCCATTTCAAAGGGAAATTGATATTTTCTATGACTCACCCCTACACAATCTATGTTGATGCCTATTGATCACTGAGTTTTTTTCTTTGTTCTGGAAAACATGGTCTTCCTACTTCACTCCTGAGGATTGTGAAGCTCAATGGTCCAGTTTTTCTGGGCTTCTTCTTTCTTTTGAAAACCAAAACATTTGACCAAATCTGAAGTCTTCTTACTCTGTTGACAAAATTTGTGTTCTCAAAATGGCTCCATGACAGTACTCACGTATTTCTTTAAGGGGTTGGAAGGGTACTTTGTCTGAACTTGAATTGATGAACTTATTTGAAGCAGCCAGATTTTTTTTCTTTTCTTTTAAGTACGGAACTCTTTAGGATTTGTGTGTCATTCTCACACAGGGCCATGCTGTATTGTTCCAATTTTAGTATCCTGCTGCAGAAGTAAGCACAAATAGCTCCTTTTTTCCTTCTTTTCTTTTTCTTCCTCCCTCCCCCCTTCCCTCCTCTCTCTCTCAATTCCTGCCCTGTTCTTCTTTCTCAGGGAGTCATGTAACCTAGGCTTGCTTCAAACTCATGATCCTCCTACCTCAGTTTCCTGTGTATTAGGATTACAGGTGTGAATCATCATGCCAGCCAGATATTTTCTTAAAACTTCTTTTCATGTCTTTGACTTCATTCCCTATGATGATGGAATTATTTTCATCATGACTTCAGCATTTATACATTTATAATTTATACATAAATGTTCATTGCATGAATGGAAATATTCAACTATATTTATATTATATGACAGGTTAACTCTTTAAGCCTTGCATTCCAAAGACAAAGGACTTCTAACATAAAAAATTGTCCTTTGTCACCTTTTGATATGACCTTTTGATAAAATTTAAAGATACTTTAATACAAGTGTTTTCAGAAAAAGTCTATAATAAATTTCACAGAACCTCTGGTATGTTTTCCTGGTTGTGAATTTCAAATTAATATTGCATTTCATTGTCATTTGACTTTATTAAAAATGACTATTTTTAGTGCTGGGGTCCCAACCTAGAGCATGTAATCTACCTCAGAGCTACACTCCTCACCCCCATGATTTTTTTTTCTTTTTATTAATTTATTTTAGCAGTACTGGGCTCAGGAAGGTTCAACTCAGGGCCCCAAGCTTCCTATGCAGGTGCTCTACCACCTGCATACCCCAAGTCTTTTTCCTTTTTTTCAAACAAGGTCTCCTATTTTTGCCCAGGCAGCCTAAACCATGATCCTACTATTTATGCCTTCTGTGTAGCTGGGATGACAGGAATATGTCACCACACCCGGTTTATTGATTGAGATAGGGATCTCACTAACTTTGCCCAAGCTGGCCTCAAACTATGATCTTCCTGATCTCTATCCCCCAAGTACATGGGATTACAGGTATGAGTCACCACACCTGGCCTTCCAATGATTTTAAATTAGTGGTGTTTTGCTATGAAAGTAATATATCCATTATGTAATTTTTAAGTCACAGACATACAATTTAAAAATAAAAAATTTAATGCAGAGGTTGTTGTTAAGATTTTAGTATATTTCTCTTTAATTTACCTATTTATTTACTACTGTCTAACTTGGAGCCTATATTAAATATTTTGCTTTGCCAACTCATTTTCTTTTTAACTTAACAATGTATTGTGAATATTTCTCCATATTGTTAAATTAACAATGGTTATTAATGTGGTTGTTAGGCACTATATTCTTACCACTGCAAGAGTATGTTTTATTTGTTATATTCATGATCCGCTGATAAAAGTAGCTTTTGTCTAAAAAAGAATAAGAGATGGAACCAGGGACCGGTAGCTCACACCTATAATCCTAGCTACTCAGGAGGCAGAGATCAAGAGGATCAGGGTTCAGAGCCAGCCCAGGCAAATAATTTAAGAGATCCTATATCAAAATACCCAACACAAAAAAGAGCTGCTGCAGTGGCTCAAGTGGCAGAGTGCCTGCCTAGCAAGTATGAGGTCCTGAGTTCAAACCCCAGTACCACCAAAAAATAAATAACAAATGGGTTGAGTACGTAGAGAATGAGCTTTGGATTCTGCAGTGCCCAGTGTTATATCTAATTTATCTGTGAAAAACATGGCATGGCATCGATGATGCTCATTTGTCACACAAAAGTAAGAAAGCTAATTGTGTTTGCTCGCTGGATGGTGAGAGTTCAGAGGCCGGCTCTAGTCTTGTGTTGTGCTCTGAACATCAGTAGAAGCTTGGCAAAGTCCACAGCACTGAACTAACCCATAACAACATATACTCAGTCCTAACATTTTTCAATACAAGTAATTTAATTAATAGAAAAGAATAAGTTTCAAAGGCAATAGCATGTCGTTCTGAATCTCTTGTGATATTTTACATAGAATTTATTATTTTATGTCTTTGTTTTCAGGAATTACAAATATAAACTGCTCTGGCAACATCTGGGTGGAACCTGCCACCATTGTCAAGATGGGTATGAATATCTCTGTATATTGCCAGGCAGCCATTAAGAACTGCCAACCAAGGAAATTTCACTTTTATAAAAATAGCATCAAAGAAAGATTACACATCACAAGGATTAACAGAACAACAGCTCGACTTTGGTATGAAAACTTCCTGGAACCACGTGCCTCTATGTATTGCACTGCAGAATGCCCTGGGTATTTTCAAGAGACACTGATTTGTGGAAAAGACATTTCTTCTGGATGTAAGTGTTGGGGCACATGCAAAATGCACTCAAAAGCTAGTCTTCACTGATAATTCACTGATAATTGCCAGTCTTATCTAAAACTAGATACAAGGTGATGTCTTCACCTCTTAGATAGCTTTAAGACAGGAGCTGCTAACTCAAGTATCTCCAGAGTCAGACTGCTGAATTGTGAGTTAGGAGCTAGTGGGACTTCATGCTTGCTAGGTAAGTAGTCTACCACTTGAGCCACACCCTAGTCCTTTTGCTTTTAGTTCATTTTTTCAGGTAGGATTTCACACTTTTGCCTAGGCTGATGTTAGAATATGAGTCTCCTACCTCCACCTCCTAAGTAGCTGGAATTATAGACATGTACTCCAATCTTTAGCCATTAAAATGTTGCTCTTTCATCTGTTTTTCACTTATGTTTTTGCTTATTTGTCTTTCAAACTAATATCATTAATCTTGAAGCAAATTCTACTGAGAGATTTTGAGCCCACGAGTCAGGGAGACTCTAAAAGTGAGCTTCTATTTAGCTGTATGACCTTGGTCAGTTTGCTTAGCGAATCTGTACCTCAGCTGCTTGTCTGTGAAATGAAGTTAATAATACTGAGTGTGTTAAACACCAAATTTCAATAATTCATTTGAATGAACATTATAACCTTTAAAGTACAACATTAGTGTCTAAATCCTTATAAATGAATCTTTTTTGATAAAACACAAGATGCTTCTCATTCACTCCCTAATCCTAATCCCCCATCCCTATTGTAAAATACCATTTACTACTATAATTATTAAATTTTTAAAAATTTATTTTAATCTGAAAAATGTATACAAAATTGAATTTTTGTTTGCAGTCTTCTGAAGGTGGGTAAGTAGCTGTAGTAACACAAGCTGATTTGTGTAATTATATGTATTTAGCTCTTGGTTCTACTATTAGGAAGAATACATCAGTAAATTCAGGATGGTTTTAATCCAGAGATCGATCCTCTGTGATACCTTTGCCCATTTTCAGTGAAAGGTCTTTTGGTCTTTGCCATGCTCCCTTTGTCATGCTTTTGTGGGTAACCAAATATGATGTCTTGCTTTATCACCTGGCCTCCAAATTTAAAAAGCGTGGAAGCTTCCTTTCTTCATAATGAGGCCACTGTCCACTGACTCTGGGCAGCTGACCATGCATGCCCTTCAAAATAGAGAATTAGGGAAGAGGTAGAGCTGAGTTGGGGAAAGAAAGTAGTAAGTTTTGCAGTCAAAGTTATTCTTTTGATCAATGTGGATCTTATGTTAATGCCTTGAACAGCAGAATCTGCTCTAAATTGTGGAAATTAACCACAGGCAGACGTCTTATCTGATGTATGAAATCTCCTTAGCTTGTCCACATCCTCAGGAAATATAACCAACTCTCAGAACTTAAATATTTTACCATTTATCCTCTGGGGGTAGGGGTAAGAGTGGAGAGGTTATACAATTTCTTCACAGGATAAATAAGAATGTGATAAATAAGTTATGGGAAAAGGATAGTTGTCAATTTAAGCCAGAGGACAAAGCATGGAAAATATGTATTGCTTCTGCTCAAAGACAAAATTTCAAAGCTCAAGTCCCTGGAGTTGGAATCCCAGGACTGAAAAAAAAAAGACAAAACTTCAACACATTTAGTGTTTAGATCTAATTGGTTTTTATTTGCAATTCATGAATCAAGCAACATCTCATTCTATGAAACAGATAAGTGTTCCATGGTGGAAACAGAAAACAATAATAAAGGGGAAGATAGTCACTGTCGTGCTACTCCAGGTTACTTTCCTTGTAAAACTTACAGTGACAGTCATTCTTCCCACACTGATTCAGTTGACTAGGCCTTCTCAGAGTAGATGTGAGCCTGCTATTTTCAGGAAAAACTGGGGGAAGGAGGGGTTGACTTGCTTCTTTAAAAACTTCTGTGTGGTGATGTGGTACTTAGCACAAGTCACTCAATTTTGATTTGATCTTCCAGGAGCTGAGTCCAAGGCACAGCCTCATACCAATTTTACTTAACACTCCTTCTCTGTGTTGCTATCTGTGTGACTGATTACTTCCAATAGCCCTCCTGGTGTTGGCTGAGGGGACTTTGTCCCCAACCCCAACCCCTGGCCATCTCAGGACACAGAATGCTCCCCTTGCAGGACAACCTAAAAGAAACACTTTCCTTCTCTGCTGATGGCTGCCTAGAAAGAGCATCACTCTTTCCATTCATGTAACCTAGGAGTGACAATTTCTCACATAGACCTCCAGTTATGAGTATGAGACTTAACTGTCAATTAAGAATTAACTCAAGCCCTGCATTCAAGCTGAGTGTGCTCTTCTCTTTGCATTTTTAGCAAACAAAACTTCCTACTTAAGTAGGTCAAAAAACCAGGTTTTTGTGGTGTTCTAGAAATCACATTGCTTTCAATGGGCCACTTTGATCATAGGATACTTGTCCTGTGAGCTTCACTATGTCAACTTACCATTGCTCTTTAGAACAAGATGATTACAGGCATTTTTTTTAGAGTAGGGACAAAACATAAAAGGTAGAAGTTACAAATGAGTCACTGCTTTCCCTGAAAAGCTATCCAAATATTTAAAATTTCTCTCTGATTTGTAATTTGTGAAATGTGAACCATCACAGTTTCCACTGTAAGCCATAATCTTAAACACTTCTTAGATTCTTATCTGTGATTTAACACACGCATATTATGGGAAATTTGTTCTAACAGGGACCATAATCATGGGATTAAAACACTACAAATTAGCTGGACTTAGTGACTCAACCTATAATTCTAGCTACTTTGGGAGGCAGAGATTGAGAGGATCAAACTTTGAGGCCATCCCTGGCAGAAAGTTCTTGAGACCTCATCTCAAACAAAGGCTGGGCACAGTGGTATGCATCTATCATCCCAGCTATGAGGGGAAGCACAAATAGGAGGATCTTAGTCTAGGCTGGTCCGGGGACAAAGCAGGACCCTATGTCAAAAATAACCAACACACAAAAGGGCTGATGGAGTGGTTCAAGTGGTATAGTGCCTGCCTAGCAAGTGCAAGGCCCTGAGTTCAACCTCCAAGTACCACCAAAAAAAAAAAAAAAAAAAAAAAAAAGAATAACAAAATAGACCATAGAAGAAATTTACTTAAAGTTTTAAGTATCTTCAGCTTAAATTTTAAGTATCTTTGACTTCTACATAAAGTGATGAAAGTAAACTTGTTATCCAACAAAAGAATATTCATCTTTAATATTGCTATTAATTAGGTATCATTACCACACAATTAGTGGCCTATGCCCACCTTGAGTAAGGAATTGCAGTGTGATCCATTGAGCCTCTCTTTGTTTTAATCTTCATCATCTGATTAATCAGACCACTCAGTTCACGGAGTAAACTCCACTGGATGGTGACTATGCACCACAAACATGCTAAATGCTGGAAATGCAAAGGAGGGGAAGCAATGACCCTGCTTTCTAGAAGTTCTCAGTAGGAAGCAATCTTCGGTTAGACTGAATTAACTATCATTCTGGTCTGTGATCAGTGAGTATGCCAGTAATGGAAGAGGGGTGGGATTAGTAGGAAGGAGCAAAAACTTAAGCCTCCTGGTGTACTCCAAGGCACTCTGTAGTGCCTGCTTGTACAGCAGGGTTTTATTCTTGGATATTGACTAGTCTGGCAATGGCTCTGACAGCAATCCAATGTCTCTCTCCTAATCATACTCACAGGCTGTCTTTACATTATTTCACATTAACAAGTAACTGTGCTTATTTGATTATGTGTAGAGTTGTCATTTAAAATTTTTTTTTGCAAAGTTAATTAACTACCTGAGAATTCACTTCATACAGAATGTTGTGGCCTAACAAAGCCCAAATGATTGACATTTGTCTTCTGTGGTTGGCAGATCAATGATCCTCTCTATCTGAAAAAATAACTTCAGCACAAATTATTATAATCCATGTCCAAAATGATTTATGTTTACACACCTACTTCCCTCAAGACTCAAATATGACTTAAAAACTTCTTTATCCTGCTCAGAGCTCAGTTTCTCCCCAGGGAGAGAGAAACTCAATGCTACAACACTCACCTGAATCTTTCAAAAGTACTTTAGTGTGCCCCTTACTCTTTGAAACTAGTTTTTAATAGTAAAATCAATTGCATTCAATTTAAGAGAGTTTAAAAACTTCAGACCAGCAAGAAAGTGCTACCTACCACCTCATAATTTTACCAGTAACATAATTCCTTCCTCATAATTTGGAGTATGTCTGTCAAGTTTCAGTCTTTCCTTCTCTCTCACTCTCTCAGATATAGCCCCACACCAAACTATTTGCAGTATGTTCTGTCATGTTATCATATAGCTACTCCTTAGTAAATAGATTTTCTAATGACTCTCTTCTAGATTACTTGGGATGTACTTTAGGAGTGTATTGCAGTTTATTTAACCTTGTGTTGAGGTGGTTTGCAATTTTTTTCATTACATTTCTTTAAGGGTGCATTCTTTTGTTTGGAGTTATGACTCAGGTGGTATAGACCTGCCTAGCAAGCTTGAGGCCCTGATTTCAAACTGCAGTACCACCAAAAACAAACAGAAAACACTAGAAAAACAAAACAAAAAAAAAAAAAACATTAAAAAAACACAGCAAAAGTACACACAAGGGTACAATCTTTTAGCCAAATATTCAAAGATTTTTATATGCCTATAAACATTTCATTAGGTTGTATTCCTAGATGTAAAACTGCTGGGTTACAAGATATAAGATATTACTCTTACTTTTAAAGACAGTGATGTGTCACGTGCTCACAATAAAGGTTGTATCAACTTGTACTCCCACTGCAAGTGTGCTAAAGGATTTCCCTAAATCTATCTCAACACTGTGTATTACCATTTTTCAAAATCCTTGCCTATTTGATAGATCTAAGTGGGATCTATTATTATTTTGATTTGCAATGAGGCTAAAATTTTAACATTTTTTTTTTTTTACTTTACAAGTAATATTTGCAGTGAAGTGAAAGACTATATTTGAACTTAAGATAAGTCTTTGGGTGTGCCTTCAGGTGCCAAAATGTCTGTGTTTTTATACTTTATGACCCACCTTTTTTCTTCCGGTTGTCTTGTGGATTCTGAGTAGTAAAGTACTCTGAGCGGTCTTTCACATGTAGGAATAAAAAGGATATATATGATTAGCACTCAGTAGTTCCATAATTCTTTTTCAAAGATTTTGATCTTTGTTACTTATAATGGATGCTGTAACTGAGTATTCCAGATGTTATTCTATAGTTTTGGGGTTTCCTGGGTCCAAACAATGTCATCAGGACTCTTTCATCTTTTCCTGTCTCTGGATTTCGTTTTCCCTGGCGTTGGCCTTATTCTTGAATACACTGAAGATCACTAAAAGGACTGACCATTTCACTATGACAAGATGGCCATCAACCACTCACCAAACACATGCCACTCAGAGATAGCATTTGGAGGGAAGAATGTACCTCATTTACAATGGCTACCAAAAAAAGTCCCTTGGAGAATTCTGGTTGATTCATCTTGACTCCTGTGCTTATTCCCAAGGGAAATTCTCTGATTAGTCAGCCTAGGTCAAGGGCACAAGTCTGTGTAGGACCTAGTTGCTGACAGCCCTTGTGGTGGAGTGGGGTGGGGAAGGGGTGAGTTGAGGCTGAGGGACAAGGAGGGGCGGGGGGGGAGGGAGTGTCAGTTCTCAAAGGGAAAAGATGCTAGCATAAAAAGTAACCTCCTTTTTCATATTAAGGCCATGGAAGGAAGAGGCGCACAGGGTGGGAGGCAGAGAAAGAGAGGGAACCTTGAAATAGACTTCTGTGAATACCAGACTTCTCTTAAAACATCTTTTTGATGTGGTGGCGTGGTGATGTATGCATGAAATGAAATGTACATCATTTTACCGTGTTTAAGTATTCAGTCAGTGACATTAAACATACTCACACTGTTTTGCAGCCATCACCATTGTCTCTGTCTAGAAGTCTTTTGTAAACTAAAACTCGTATCCCTTTAGTAGTAACTCCCCATTCCTTCCTCCCCCAGCCCCTAGAGACCTCTATTCTGCTTTCTGTTTCTGTGAGTTGGCCTGGTCTAGAAATCTTACATAAGTGGAATCATACAGAGCTTGTTCTTTTGTGGTCTGTCTTGCTTCATTTAGTCTTTGAGTTCTGTCCATGTTGAAGCCTGGCTTGAAGTTTCCTTCCTTTTATGGTTGAATAATATTTCTTTGTATAAATGAATATCAAACTTTTCAAGGGAGTAGTGGAATGTGTTCCAGAGGAGGAGATAGTCTGGCAGAGTAATAGAAAAAAATAAGGATGAACCCTTTCACAAGAGCCTAAAAACAGAAGGTTTCAAGGAGGGAGTGAGCAAAATACCAAATGCTGCAGAAGTGAAGTTAAGTAATAATTGACAAGAGAGCTTTTGAATAGAAAGTCATTAATGACCTTGGCCATGGTGGTTTTGATGGTGGTTTTGATGGACTTGCCAGAACTGAATCCTGATTAAAAACAAGAGAAGAATAATGGACTCTTTAAAGATGTTTTCACTGTTTCTGGGCCTGGTGGCACATGTCCGTAATCCCAGGACTTGGGAGAGTTTGAAGCCAGCCTGGGCTATATAGTGAGACCCTTTCTCCAAAAAAAAAAAAAAAAAAAAAATCAGAAAGAGAGAGAGAAAGAAGTTTTACAATTAAGAGAGGAGAAAGGTACAGTGATAACTGAGAGGAGGCAGAATTTGGAGGGAGGCTTTCCTGTTTGAATGGGAGGAACCTCACCTTGCTCGTATCTCCACAGGAGTGGAACAGAAAGTAAAGTGTAGGGAGAGGATGTGTGACGGCAATGTGGTGCGGATAGAGTAGGAGTCCACGGGGTGGTCGGTGCCAGTTGGCCTGGTTTCCTGCGTAACTGACAGTTTATCAACTAACTACTTTATCAAGAAATTTTGTTTCTTACAGCAGCTTTTAAGTGATGCATTTTGTTGCAGACCCCCCGGATGCTCCTGAGGAGGTGGCCTGTGTCATTCATGAGCAGTCGGGCAACATGACTTGCACCTGGGGCACTGGGAAGCCCACCTACATAGACACCACGTACGTGGTGCACGTGAAGAGGTATGCTTGGCTCTCCTGCAGCTTCACACACAGATCCACACCACTCAGCCGGGTTCTGCCTCTTGCAGAGAGCCGATGAATCAGCCTCAAACATTAGACATGTTCCTGGGTCATCCTTGTCGATCTAATTGCCATCGGTGAAACTAATAGCGCCTGGGGGGACCGTTAATATTTTTGCTCTGCAGGGCAAAGTGTTCTATGACTTTTCAGTCCTTTCTATTTATTGGCAGGTAACTGGTAGCAATGGTTTTAAACTGTGGCTTACTCAGGTGTAGTGGCTCTCAGCTACCTGCGAGGCTGAAATTGAGAGGATTGTGGTTCAAGCTCACCACTGGCAAAAAGTTAGTGAGACCCTATCTCAACCAATAAGGCATGGTGGGTAATGCCTGTCATCCCAGCTATTCAGGAGGCAATAGTAAGTAGGAGGACTGTGATCTCAGGCTGGACCTGGGCAAAAAGGTGAGACTATCTGAAAAATAATTAGAGCATGTGGACATGGCTCAAGTGACACAATGCCTGCAAAAGCAAGCTTGGGACCCTGAGTTCAAATTCTACTACTGCCCCCCCAATAAACAAACTATGGTTTAAATCTCAGCCCTATTCCCCTTCTAGGATTAGAATAATTTACTCAATCTTGCAAAATGGCCAATTCTTTATCTTTAAAATAGGCCCCCAAATGAAACCTAATGCACAGGTTTGTTCTTACTAGCTAAGTGATGTTTTTCTTTTAAAGTGTGTATCATGGTGCCAGGTCCAGTCCAGAGTGAGCCCTAAATTCATGGCAGGTATTACCGCTTCAGAATGACCCTGTCTACAGAGACCCTGTTTAGTGTCTATGGAGGGTGACTAATTTTTCTAAAGTGGTGTCCTGAACACAGGACCTTCAGTTCTAAAACTTGGAAAGCTGTGGACAGTCTGGGAGAAATTGATAACCTTATCTATGTTTCATGTTTTATTTAGTTCATTTTTTAAAATAATGCTTTCTGTAGTGATATTTGAAGCATACTGTTATCTGTTAGTAATTCTCAAAAATTTCCAAAGCTACTTATTTTCTTTTTTTTTTAAATTTTGGTAGCATATTTTATTCAACCTAATATATCTAAAGCATTATCTTAACATGTAATCAAATTAAAATTATTAATCAGGTATTTTGTATTCTTATGTTTGTATAAGTCTTTAATATCCACTGTATATCTTACCCTTATGACACATTTCAACTTAGACACTAAATTTTCTTTTCTTTTTTTTTTTTTTGCTTTGTTTTTGTTTTATTATTCATATGTGCATACAAGGCTTGGGTCATTTCTCCCCCCTGCCCCCACCCCCTCCTTTACCACCCACTCCACCCCCTTCCTCTCACTCCCACCCCCTCAATTCCCAGCAGAAACTATTTTGCCCTTATCTCTAATTTTGTGGAAGAGAGAGTATAAGCAATAATTGGAAGGAACCAGTGTTTTTGATGGTTGAGATAAGGATAGCCAAACAGGGAGTTGACTCATATTAATTTCCTGTGTGTGTGTGTGTTACCTTCTAGGTTAATTCTTTTTGATCTAACCTTTTCTCTAGTTCCTGGTCCCTTCTCCTATTGGCCTCAGTTGCTTTAAGGTATCTGCTTTAGTTTCTCTGTGTTAAGGGCAACAAATGCTAGCTAATTTTTTAGGTGTCTTACCTATCCTCACCCCTCCCTTGTGTGCTCTCGCTTTTATCATGTGCTCAAAGTCCAACCCCCTTGTTGTGTTTGCCCTTGATCTAATGTCCGCATATAAGGGAGAACATATGTTCTGTTAGTAATTCTCAAAATTTTCCAAAGCTACTTATTTTCTTTAAAAAGCATTTATTGGACCCTTGCTGTCTGTCAAGCACTCTACTGAGAACATCCTATCTACTACCTCATTCAATCCCCTATACAACCTTATGAAATGCATGTAATTATATTTCTCATTTTTATAGACAAGAGACTGAGGCTTAGCGGGGTCATGCAATGTGTCCAGGTGCACACAGTCACATAGAAGGACAGGTGGGATTTGAACTTGGGTTGCTAGACTACCTTCTTGTTGACTTAGTTTGTTTCTGCTAAAGTGGGGGGTGGGGAGGACCAGATCACCAGGCATAGTTAAGAGGTGCTACCAGGTCTCATCATTGTGAAAGAGAATAGTCTTCCAATCTCTCCATCTCTCTCTCTCTCTCTCTCTGTGTGTATCTGTCTCTCTCTCTGCCATTAGATTCTCAGAATAATGTCAATTAAGTGAAACATAAAAAGAAACACTTCTTCAATAAATTCAGATAAAAATTAGACCGGTTGTACAAATACATTCCTACGTTACAAGCTGCCAGTCAAGGACAAGCAGCTCGTGCCTTTCATTCTAAGCAGGGTCATATGAAGGGTGGTCAGGAATAAACAAGATGGTGGGAACACTGAGGTCAGAGGCAGGTAGCTTAACCGATAATGTATGATATGCTACATACTAGGCTCTGTGCCATGTGTTATGCCTTCAGTTCTCAACTCAAACTTATGAGGGAACTGTCACATTGTCCTCGTTTTATAGATAGCTTGGAGAGCTGGCATTTGCCTCTTCAAAGTCACTTGGTTAAGAAGAGAGTTGAGTTTCTGACAGGGGTCTGTGGTTCTACCATCTGAGGCTTAACCTCCACCTTTTGCCTTTAGAATAATCTAGTCCCACTTACATGAAAAGTGGTCACAAGGACAAGAAAGCTAGAATCCCACTGCTAAATCAACATTAGGAATGTGAAAGTGAGAGCAGAGTGGGAGCAAACCTCATAATTCAAGCTTACAGAAAAGCCAGGTGGTTCCAGATGACAGAGATAGCCTAGTGTCTTGAGGATTTTTACAGTCTCCTGGAACCTGGAAGTATCTCATGGACTTCCTAATCCTGTTGGTTGAGAAATTCCTTTCTTCCCTCCCTCTCCCTCCCTCCCTTCTTTCCTTCCCTTCTTCTCTCCCTCCCTTTCTCCTTTTCTTCTTTCCTTTCCTTTCTCCTTTCTAATGTAACAGCTTTATTGAGTATAATCCGCCTACTATGCAATTCACCCCAAGTATACTATGCAATGACAATCATTGATTGTAATCAGAATTGTGGAATGATTCCTTAGGCCAAAAAGAAACCCCATGTTCATTAACAGTCGCTTCCTATTTTGCCACAGCCCTCCCAGCCCTAGAAACCACTGTCTACTTTCTATTTCTGTGGATTTGTGGACTCTAGACACTTCATATAAAAGGAATCATACATCCTGGTGCCAGTGGCTCATGCCTATAATCTTAGCTAACAGGAGGATCTATGTTTGAAACTAGCCCAGGAAAATAGTTCACAAGACCCTATCTAGAAAAAAAAAAACCCATCACAAAAAAGGGCTGGCTCAAAGTGTAGGCCCTGAGTTCAAACCCAAGTACTGGAAAAAAAAAAAAAAGGAAAGAAAAGAAATTGTACAAAAGAAAAATAGGTAAAAAAAGTAAAATAAGGAATCATACAATAGAGGGTCTTTTGTGATTGGCTTCTTTCCCTTGCACAGTGGTTAAGGCTCATCCATATTGCAGCACATGAATAGCATATTCCATTATTCATCGGATGAGTAATGTCCGTTCTATGGATCGATCACATTATTTTTATCCATTTATTAACTGATGGACATTTGGGCTATGTCTACTTTTTTGCTATTGTGAATAGTGCTTCTGTGAACATTTGTGTATAGACAATGGGTCTTCATTTCTCTCAGGCACACACTTAAGAATAAAAGTGGCAAGTCATATGCTAACTATCTCTTTGACCTTTTTAGGAACTTTTGTAATATTTTCCAAAGCAGCTGTACCACCTTACATTCCTACTAACAGTGTATGGAGGTTCCAATATCTCTTTCGAAGGACACTTTTGTGTGTGTGTGCAGTGCCAGGGATCAAATCCAGGGCCTTGTGCATGCCAGGCAAGTGTTCTACAACTGAGCTAGAGCCTCAGCCCTCAGTTTTTTGAGACAGGATCTTACTACGTATCTCAGGATCCTTGGACTTGCTATGTCGCCTAGGTTGCTCTTGAACTTGAGATACTCCTGCCTCAGGAGGACTGTAGACACGCACTATCACACCTAGCCTGAACATCTGCTTTGTAAAATAAGGAATGCCTGTAGTAGTTATGAGGACTAAAGTTGTTCTCTGCCCTCAAAAACTCTGGCTGGGCACTGGTGGCTCACACCTATAATCCTAGCTACCCAGGAGGCAGAGATCAGGAGGATTATGGTTTGAAGCCAGCTTGGGCAAATAGTTTGTGAGCCTTATCTTGAAATACCCGACACAAAACAGAGCTGGTGGAATGGCTCAAGTTGTGCAGTGCCTGCCCAGCAAACGTGAGGCCTTGAGTTCAAACCCCAGTGCCACTAAAAAATAAATAAATAAAAATAAACGAATATTACAGTGATTCTCAAAACCAACTCCCTAGGCTAGTGTGACTTATTCATTTTTTTAGGTTTTTTTTTTTTTGGTGGCACTAGGGTTTGAACTCTGGGCCTTGAGTTTGGTAGGCAGGTCCTCTACCACTTGAGCCACTGTGTGACTTGTTCTTGCATGGAGAGGGAAAGATTAATGTAAAGCCATAAAATTATCACCTACAAGACATTATAAACACCAATTTGTTTACATTATTTTCAGGTAATACAATAATTTTGGCCAAAGCTAGAAAGTGATTCTGAATGTGTTCTATTAAGTTGTTTACATATGTCAATAGTAAGTTAACACATTCATTCAAACTAGAATTTAAGCTCAATGTGGGCAAGAATTATTTTTGTTTTGACTGCTGTCGTATTCAGTTGAGGCCTGAAACCTAATAAGAGCTCTTATTTTATCTAATAACTAGAAATAAACATGTCTTGCATTTTTGCCCCTTCACAATCTAGTTAAATAATCGTAATACAAGTTAGGCATGGTGGCTCATGCCTGTAATCCCAGATACTTGGGAGGATCAAAAAGATAATAGTTCAAGGCCAGCCTGGGCAAA